CAGATACACCTGATAACAGGGGGCAGAAGACTACACAAAAATAATCTGGACTTATCGCATAGTAATAAATGATTAATATCAAAAATGTATTTCTCTTTTTTCTTTTTACATATTTTGTTAAAAGGCCAAATGAGGAATTCAAACCCCCCAAAAAGTCATTTTTTGTTTGTTTTTATTCTTGGATCAGGCTTTAAAGGGATATTTTTTTTATAACTATATTTTGTGTTATAGTCTCTGGCTGTGTCCACAGACTCTCTTTTATCTCTTTTTCTCTCTCTGTTGCATTAGATACATGTCTTTAGGTCAACACACACACACACACACCATTTGTTAGCACATTCCTGTCCTCTGCATGAATTAGGACCTGGCCTGTTCGTGCCCAGAGGTAACTGGCCAATAGGACTTGGTTGTGTCCAGTCCTCCTTTGAGGAGGCGGATGGAGCCCAGGAGATAATGCCCATCACCCAGATCTCAGGGCTCTAACCCACTGAGACCCAGAGAGAGGTTTTAGTCTTAACTGTGTCCAATAAATGTCAATTTTTTAAACTTTTGATCAGTGAACTTCTGCTAGAAAATCGCTCCAGTGAGACATTCAAGCACAAAACTTACTATGTCTAAAAAACATGCATGTTAAGGTAATTAATTAACATCTGGCTAAACTACAAACCGCACTGGGACTGCCCTGTAACGTGAAATGTAACGTTTTGTGTTTCCTGAGGAATATTATTGTTTGTGGAAAACCTTCTCTTTTGTTCAGCTTGTGACATTATGTGAGAAATTAGCACAATTATTCAACCAGGCAGGCAGCTTCTGGTCATTTGACTCGACCCATTCGGAAAACAGAAGCAGTGTGCAGGACGTCTAGGGTTAGGGTTAGGGTTAGGGTTAGGGTTAGGGTTAGGGTTAGAGTTCAGAGCTGAAACTCTGTGGAACAAACTGCCTCATAACATCTGGACTGCTACCCCGAAAGGTGCATTTAAAACACTTCTAAAAAGATACTTTGTTGAAAGCCTTAATTCATGAATATTTGTGTAACAGATTGTAATGTAAGGTGAAATCATTTGAAATGTATAATTGTTCTTATGATGTGATCATTTGATATGTTTTGTGTATCTGTGTGGAAGTTCCTCCACAATTAACCCAGTGTTAGTATTTATTTAAATGTTTCATGCCATACATTTATAATTTCAATTGTTTGTGTGTCTATTGTTTTAGGTTTACTATTATGTATGCACACATTTAGTAAACGCCTTTGTTCGGTAATTATTAATTATTTGTTTGGGAAAGAGGACTGATGGAGAGATGAACCAGGAAGTGGAACAAACCATTGGGCTGCTGGAAGCAGGGGACCTGATGTTAAAATAACTTTCCTCTTTCTAGTTATAGCATAAGTCCTTAAATAGTTTGATGTTTGGTCAGTTGTTGGTTTGTTATCCTGAGTCAGGTATGCTTTAGTTGTTTTCTTTTGGGCCCATTTTTGTCATATTTTGGAATTTGATGTTCTTTTTTTGGGAGAATAATAGGAAAATAAATAGAATTTATTGTTTTATGCCTTTGTCCCTGTGGCTTACTGGACGGACCGTGACAATCTGTATCATTTTAAAAGGACCCCAGGAAGAGTAGCTGTCAAATTACTGACAGCTAATGAGGATCCAAATAAATAAACAATAATTCCCCCTAAACTGACCCTCAAAGTGAACGTGACACTGTTTGTTTTGTGTGTCTGTGTGGTCCTTCCAGGGATGAGCACAGCCTCCCTCCTAAAGGCTTCTCCCTCCGGACCTTGAATTGAATTAAAATGAACGGATAGAAGGATGGATGCACTCCCTCCTGTGAACCCAGTTCAGAAAATTGCTTTGTGATGCATCCTGGCCTCCTCCAGCCAGCAGGAGGCATTAACACCTGCCCAATAGGAGCCCGGGGACCCGTTTACGGTTAAGTGTCACAGTCAGGATTCCTTCTAAAAAAAATCTCCTCTGGCCAGTATAACCAATTTCTCCTCGTCTTCTTCTTAACGGTCGTTGTGATGTATCGAGACAACAACCGAGGTTAGCTCACAATCCCAGTCTGTGGGAAATTAAGCTCTGTTTTTAACCCTGTAATGCCAAATGTGTCATATTTGATTCGTACGGTTTCTGAAATGTTTTGCGTCTGACACATTTTGCTTAATTTAATGGTAAAAACTTTGCTCAAAATCCTATTGTACACAATCAGATACACCTGATAACAGGGGGCAGAAGACTACACAAAAAATAATCTGGACTTATCGCATAGTAATAAATTATTAATATAGAAAATGTATTTCTGTTTTTTCTTTTTACATATTTTGTTAATAGGCCAAATCAGGAATTCAAACCAAAAAAAAGTAATTTTCTGTTTTTTTATTTATTCTTGGATCAGGCTTTAAAGGGTTAATGATGGCTGTACAGAGCCTACAGGAAAAACAAGTCTCATCTTAACTAGTATTATAGTATTATACCATTATACTACAAGGTTGGCTGCAAAACCTTATATACAAATCCCCAAAACTTGAAACTTTTTGCCTTAAAAAGGTAGGAGGGTAATTTTCATGTGAGCCGCAGGGGCTTTTTTAAAAATCTGTATCTTATGGGTTCAGAGTACAGGCGACCAGAGGGATGCTGGGTTAGGGTTAGGGTTAGGGTTAGGGTTAGGGTTAGGGTTAGGGTTAGGGCTGATCTCCCCCTGATCCGCCCGGTTACTGGGTTAACACCAGCGATGCACAGAAAATCATTTTCTCACAGGGTGCAACGGGATTTATCAGCAAATGAGAGCAAATGTTTTTTAATGCAATTACATGTTTCACTGAACAGGATCATTTCCTCTTTAAGAGTTTATTAGCAGGCTTTTCTGTGTGTGTGTGTGTGTGTGCTCTTTAAAAAAAAAAAGAAAAAGAAGGAAAAAAAGAAGAAAAAAAAGAAGAAAAAAAGAAAAGAAAAGAAAAAAAAGAAAAAAGAAAGAAAAAAAGAAAGAAAAAAGAAAAAAAAGGAAAAGAAAAAAGAAAAAAATAGGCGATGAAAATAATCCATTAAACTGTCTTTTGTGTGTTGCTCCTTTTGCAAAACACTTTGATAACTATCAGTCAGAAACACAAAAGCTGTTATCTACCAACAAAAAAACTGCATGTAGCAGAGATTGCCAATTACTAACAGCTTTTATTCGGGCGTTTGTTATTTGTGATACTGAAACGTTATGAATTGAGTGTGAGTTCTTTAAAGAATAATGAAAGATTGTTGGGCAGATTACTGGGCTGGGTTACAGCTGCTGCTTTGAGGCTTTTGAGGCTGATTTAAGACCAGAAGACGGGTTTTTAAGAAACGAAACATAGACTGTAAGTGCCTAGAAAACTAATTTCAAACTGTTAACACATATCTAAAGGGTCATGTGCAGAATCTCCTACGTATAGGTAGTCGTCACCATTTTATAAACACTAGAATACAGTTTCCTTTTTAAGTGACATCCATGGATGGAT